AAAACAGCAATATTTGCAGAAATATCAACCTGCAGATGTGAACGGGGCCTTCTGACTGGGTGGGTTCAGTGAAACACAGCGGTAAAATTTCAGAGAATATTTCCTTCAGATATTCTTCACTTTCAAAAACTAATTTCACAAAGAACTTAAAGATGACCAAAATTAACTGATATATCATTGGTAATAATGAATATGTCAAGCTCCAACTTCATGATCCTTGCTTTGAAACAACTCTTCTCTGAGACAGTTGAAAGATCTTCCAGGGTAGGAAGAACACAAGACCACACGTGCCTCAGCAAACAATGTTGAAAAACTACACCTTGTTCAATAGAAAAGGCCAGAGCCCATTCTCTGTTTCTGAGGCCAAATGCCACAGCAGCTCCTCAAAACATGATGGTCATTTTTGGAAAGGTCATAGGCCACCCTTCTTCCCCAGACTGTGCCTCTGGTGTTCCTGGGAGTGTACTGACTGCCATGGGACAAAGCACTGAGGAGTAGCAACTCCTACAACAAATAATCCCAATCAGTTCTCAAAACAGGAACCTCTGTACCATACTCATTTTAAAGAAGAGGAGTTTCTGGAAGCACATACTTTCTCAAAAAAGAAAGAAAAAAAAAGAAAAAAAAAGAAAACTAAGAAGTTAATCCTGGCATGATTTATCATCCCTTTCATCTCATGCAGTACTTGAATTGTTCCCTGTGTCATGGCCTGATCCTGTAGTCCTTTCTCCTCTAAGTCACCCTGTTTCTAGAAGAGGGAGAAAAATCTGCAGGATTAGGTCCTGAACTCAAACCAATATTCTTCTCAAAGGAAAATGATGCATTCTGCCTGCTCAGAATTGCCATGAGAGTAGGTGGCACAGGGAAATGTAATATTTATTTGGTAAATAAGGTTAAGTTATACTGCTTCACTTTTTTCATTTGAAGAGAGCAGAGAATTTCCTTCTCCCAGGTTTATTGGATTCAGTAAGTCACCCATGAATAGAGCATGGGGGGATGGGATACAGAGTATCTGTGGAAAGATCCATGCAACACACACAGATGGGATTAGTCTACTCATTCCCTAGATGTAATTGCAGTTTCACAGAAATTCTGCTAAAAACACATTTATTTGGCAGTAAATAAGATGACTAATTGCAAAGGATATCTGCACATAAATTCCAGAGTGAAATTTCTGGCACATTTCTAATTGTCATATAAAAGAAAATGACACACTCTCTACTCATTTTTCCTAATTAAATGCAAAATATGAAGTTATTGGTGGAAATGAAGGCTATTTCTGTTTAACCATGAAGTACAGCATATGGTTCCCTGATTATTGGTACACTGTGCAGCAGAAGTCCTGGGCAGATGATTTCAGGGGATGATCTGACCATGCCTGCTGCTGAGATCCACAGAGATGCTCTCAACCCAGATTTGAAAATTGTTCTGTATAGAGTTCTGTGAAGGATATGTGGTCCTAAATTAATGACTACTGTATTAGGACTGTTTGTTTGTTTTTTTTTCTCCAAAGTTCTCAAAGTGTCACATAAAGTTCAAACACAAACTTTGCATGATAATCAAGGCATTAGAACAATTGTTGCTTGCCTGTGACTTGTTTATAAGAAAAGGCTCATACAACCACCTAGTACCCAAAGTAACATGAGATATAATTGGCAGAAGAAGATGAACTCAGATCTTATCTATCCTAAGCCAATGACAATATTGACTCTTCATATAGGATTTCTAATACTGGAAAGAAGGTTAAGAGAAATTATGTGAAAATCATTTGCTGACAGCTTTGAATAATGAAGAAAAAAATTCCTTTAAAATAGCACACAATGTAAGCCACGCCAGTAAATGTAACATTAAACAAAGCCAGCCCTGCAACAGCAGTACAGTGCAAGTCTACCACAGACCAGACATGTTTCAGTAGTGCAGTGGGAATTAAATGTTGCTGCCTTTATCTGTACACACAAGAAGAGCTCTGTCATTCTGTCCACATAATGGGATGCAAAATATGCCAGTTTATTAATTGCTTAACATCTACCAAACAGCACAGTATTTCCCAAGTGGGAAAGCACATGCTAAGAGGGGTAAAAAAAACCAAACCCCACAACCAAACTATAATTTAAAGTGTGACAATTCTCAGTACTGGACATAAAAGGGATTCAGTAGGAATGCAGTTGGTTGAACACCGTCACTTGCCCTGACTGTGAGCCCTTCTTTATGCATGAGGATTTTGAAGTCTAATGAGTATGCACAGAGCATTCCCACTGATTCACCACCACAGAGAAGAGATTTGGCTGGGATTTCATCCAGAAAACAGCTAAGAAAATAACAAAACACAGGTATGGAAAAATCTCTGCTATGCTCCAGGATTCTACCTTCCCTCCATAATAGAGCTACCTCGTATGACTGCAGCTATTTTCCCTGCTTTGCTGCACATAAACCCTCTCTAAAGCACATTTCTGACACTTTTCCCTTAGGAAATTCTCCCATACACAAGGAAAATATGCTGCAAGCCAGGGTTCTCACTTGCAAATCTCATACGTTGAACTCATCTGCTCTGCACAGGAAACTCAAATGTCAATATCATGGTAAAAAAAAAAAGTCAGAGGCACCATTCTCCTTTTTTGTTGTTGTGGTTGGTTTTTTGTTTGTTTGTTTGGGGTTTTTTTGACAATTGAGCTCTGCCAACCCTTCAGTAATCAAAGATCATCAGTCAGACTCATACATAACCAAGTTATGAAAAGCCATGGATATTTTCAATCTAAAATGTAACATTAGCATTCTGGATTTGATCTTTCCAACACATTCATTTAAAGGCCTTTCTTTTTTTCACTTGTTTGACTGCTCCAAGTAGAGGTTTCCATGTGGCCACTTGCCTCCTGGAGCAGGGCCACAAAAAGAAATGCCAAATATTGTGAGAACTGTGATAAAAACTGTAGCTTACAATCCAGTTAAGCCTCCTCCTCCACTCATGCTTTGCCAGAGGGAGACAGGTGAGCCCCAGACCTGCCACTCTCTAATTCTCACGTGAAACTTGTGGACATGCTGCTGGTTACAGACCACTCCTGACAGTGGGAGAGAAGGCTGCAGCATTTGTAGAAGCAGTGTGTGGTCAGGATTTTAATGAGATGGGTCAGGAACACAAGCAACAGGGAACTCATGAGGAACAGGCCACGCATGGACTGGTGAGAACTCAACCTTTTACTGTTTTTCCATCTTCATGAACACGTCTCAGCACCAGGCCATTGACTCATCAGTGCCAAACACAAAATTTCGGATCATGAGATCCACGTACTGATCGTGGTTATAGTGACAGTCCTGAGATGCTGGCTACCCCTGGAAATTGTAAAGTCAAAACCAGCCTCCTCAGCTCAGAGATATTAATCTCCTTTCATTTTCTGTCGCTTAAAGAGTGTCAGCACTGATAGGACTGCAGGACACAAACCTCAGATGTTATTTAAATATATCAGTTTCGGGGAAAACATCAGCAAGATACAGCAACAATATGAGCACCTCTATCAGCCAGAAACATTTTATATCTAAACCTACAATTCTCTAGAGAAATCTTCAGACTCAAAGAAACAGTAAACCACTGTATAATTCATCTTCATAATCTTGATGTGTGGTTCTTATCACTGACATACTACTACACTCCTGGCTTTTATTGTAGTCTGACTCCTGTTAAAGGTGTCCATTTGGCCTTATTGAGGTTCAATGCAATAAAACCACCTTTTCCTGTTTATTTCTTTTGGAGTCAGCGAGCGACTCAGTGGCATTCTCCTGATGGGATGTTAAAAGCTAGACCTTACATTTGTTTCAGCAGTGTAAATCTACTGCAATACCACTGATTTCAGTGACAAAATATGTGGTTACATCTAGAGAAAACTATATTTATTTGGTGGTACAAGCCCTTCATATATAGCTGGAAACCAGGAAAGAATTTTGAGAAAACAAAGCTGTGCATTTGTCTTTTTTTTTTACTCTTCTGCAACTATCTGCTAGTGCCTGAGACAAGGTTTTAGACTAGATGGATCTTCTCTCTGCCTTCCTGAGGTCATCCCTATGTTCTTTTTTAGAGCAAAACCTTCAGAAGTGCACCTAGCCTACTCATCTACCCTGCAGAATTGCACCTCAGAATCCATTTCTTTAATTACATAAAATATTTGGGTCTTCTTGTTCAAGTGGAGATGTAAATAATGCACTGTATAATACATTTTAAAAATCACCTGGTATTGAATAAACCATTTAATTTAACTTGGTTAATTTGGAATCAATATTATAATTAATTCTGTACTTCATTTGTCTTTTGAAGTGGTGGAATAAACTAGTTTGTGTCAGTTCAGCCTTGTAGGAGTGTGTGAAATGCTGAGGCTGTATTCCCTCTTACCCCTGCTAAGTAAGACTTATCAATGGAAAGGTTCCCTGCTTCAAGGAGTGCTTTATAAAAGTGAAACAAAGTTTCACAACTTCATTCATCTGATCTAGTGTCTGATTTGATTTTTAAATCATTAGTTGAGCTGAACTGTACTAGCTTCACTTTAAGTAAATCATGAGGAATTGCCTGCCCTGCGTTCCTGTGGAATGCTGAAGTACTCCTGGGCTCACTTTGCTTGAAAGAGGCTCAAGGTACAGAGAACACCAGGAAAAAAATCATAGTCCTGCTGGCTCTAGTGAAGGAAGAGTCTAACCTGCCAGACTCCTCCAGTGCCACCCAGCACAGTACCCAAGTCTCCAGTCAGTATCACAGCCACCAGACACAGCTTCCCTCAGCTTTACAGAGAAAAAAATCCCCTCAAATTTACAATACAGTGCATATTTCACATGCTAGCAAGGGCAACAAGTCTTCTAGAAAAGCAGATTGTCACTCGTCCTGCCGCTCTCTCATCTGCTGATAACTCCAAAGCTGAAGGATCATCAGAAATCCTGCTCACACTTCATTGGTTTTCCTAATTACTGGTCAACCAGACATATGACCAGGGGGAACAGGCTGAGAGCTCACAAACACAGCCCACACTGCAAAAAGACCAACTTCTACAGAGGTTAAGTCCTTCTCTTGCAGCAAAGAGCTACTCTGCAGACCTTCAATTCCCTGTGATGTCCAATCTAAATATGTCACAGGTAATCATTTTTTAAAACCCTTTCCAAAATGTTGCATTCATGTTGTATGTCCCTCCCTTAGCAGAACGACTTTCCTATCCCACGGGACCTGTGCAGTGAAACAGAAATCAAGACAGGCTGGAAAAGTCTGTTTTCCACTTGTGCCCTGAGAGCAGTTTTGGGGTTCCAGTGCCCAACCAGGAGCACCAGTCTCTCGGTTTGATGTGATATCAAGCAACATTATAAGTGAAGATCAGTGATGTGTAAAGCAACCAGAAGGCTGTAAATAAAATAGTTAGAAAAAGTATGTCCTCATGGAGATATCAGAACGATTTAACGATTTAAAACTTCCTTTCCAGAGTCTTCTAATTCCCACAACTCTTATTTAGCTTAATAAGCACTGTGAACATGCAGATTTATTCACTAGTACTGGCAAACTCCTGGTACTTCCTCGATGCTCCTATTCCTTTAGCTGTGTGATTAACAAAAAATGCTTATTTTCAGGGAAAAGGAAAAAAAAAAGGTTTTTATGGTGCAGGGAGTTTTTCAACATCATTTGAATGATCCATTAGAGAGTCAGAATGTCAAACAGTAATTTAAGACAACAAAACTGTTTAAATTTCCCTATTTCTTGGGCAAACATTAATTTCTTGAGAACTCAAATCATGATTTATAAACACTCGAGGCCAACACCTCTGCAATGACTAAACCCCCCCTTGATGCTTTAGCTGACCAGCACAGTAAATACCTATTGATAGCTTAAGTTAACTACCAGTGAACAATGTCCTGGAAGCTGGGCTTTCTTTGGTGGGACAAAAATATATTAAGAAGAAATGCTGTGTCCAATGATATCAGTTCCCAGCAGTGTTGCTGCAATCTGCCAGTGTGCAGAATGTGGTCCAAGGGGTGATGTCCAACCCATCTCTAACTGTGAGGCGCTTCTCTGATCCCTGCTCTTGTCACTGACCCGGCAGCTGGACTTCTCAGGAGCCTTCTGGGAACTGTAATGCACTGCCCACAGCACAAGTCAGACAAGCGAAAAACAAGTGTGCATTTGAATGAGTTGCAGATCTTGGAGGCTTTGTCCTTAACATTGTGCTGCTGGCAAAGTCACACTCTCCTAAAGCAGGAGACCATCTGAAATGACAAAATCGGAACAGATCCCTGATTAATACAGTTTGCCTCTCTGCCCTTCACTGTTTCTCCAGTGACAAAAGCTGAATATGGGGCTGCTGTTAGGGAGCAAGGCCGAACCCAGATTTTATTAAGAAACACATTTTGCCTTCCCCTGAAATTCCTAAAATTCCTACTTCCATGGCTCAAACCTCTCTGTTGTCATTTTCATCCTCCCATAACAGATGCCCCTCTAACACATGCTACTGCAGGTTTACTGCTTAAAACAGCTCAAAGAAGAGTCTGTGTGACTTGGCTTTTAATAATTTCATTTAACAAGAAAGAAAAAATTAGACAAACCAAAAAACTCCTCATACTTTATTTATTTGTCTTATTGGATAACAATTTTTGGCAAGTGCTGCTACCCAGCTGAATTTAACAGCATACTAAGTTGTTGCAATACTGACAAATACAGAGCACACTTGTTTTAACAGTGTTAAAAATGATGACAACAAGAACCCAAGCTCTTCTCTGAGGATTATTGGGAATTTTGTGCCCTTTTCACAACAGAGATCTCCAGAGAAATTCTCTTGTGCCTTACCCAGTTTAAAATATTAAGATGAGCTGCAGCAAGCAGCAAAAGCAGTAGTCAAATGATGTTCTTCCCACAGCAGCCCTGCTAACTTCAAAGATGCATAGGGAACAGAGAACAATTAAGACTGTTTTTCAGAACATGCTGGTCAATACAGAGCATCACTGCTAAATTTTGTCCAGTAGCTAAAGGATAATTTCAGTTACAGAAATTTTGAGAGACTTATGAGAAGCAAACAGGGGATGGAAAGGCATCCTAAATCTCGCATTTAATAATTAACCTTTCTGAGACCAAAAGGGATCAAATTCAAAGCTGAAAACTACTTTAAGATAATTATGATAGTCAAGAGCCCTTTATAAGCAATATTCTTAATGTAGTTTCCACTCCCTTGGGAATGTCAAGTACTGGTTAGCCTAAATATATGTCAGAAGTTATATCATAATAGTGTTTTGGTACATGAAAAATACTCAAAGTGCAAAAACCAGAACTTTGCTGCATCTTAATGTAAAACCATCCCTGGGATCTTTTTTGGACATCTGGTCCTTCTTGTTTGCTTTTTGAGTTAGGTTTGATATTTTCATCACACCACATTCCTCACTTTGGCCTTTTTGCACTACATGTCCTGAGAAAATACAGGAGCTTGTGAGCTCTTTTGAGGCAAGAAACTCAATATTTGAATATCCAGCAGCAACTATAATATATCTGGACAGCACATGCTACATCTTGTGCTAAGAAAGCATCTTGCAACTTGCAAAAGGTAAGATAATATTTATCCTCCTAGCACAAGGGCAGAGTAAGTTAACAGACATATATTTTCATTCTTCATCTTTCAGCGTTCCTAGGGGGGAAAAAACCTGTGGCAGGAGGTCCATAAATATTTCTAACACTTTGGAGCTAGTCAAATTTTTTGAAACAAAAGTGTTGAACCTGCCACAATCTAGTCACTGAAAGCAACACTTCTGCTGGGAATGTGCTAATTTTGATGAAATCTTTAGAAAAGGTGTTTTATGTTTTGAATGGACTAAACACAAGAGAGACCGCGGGCAGTAACAATAAAGAGAGATAAAATATAATCGGGTGACCAAGACCAACAACTCAGAAGTAGGTCAGAAAAATTTACTTTACCAGTTTCAGAGCTGAGAGCTGAACTTGGCCACTTGTGTCCCAGGTGAATGTCTTTATTCTGCACATGGCCAATCTGTTTTTCTAGTCCAATTAATATTTAATTGTTTATGCAGCTGCAACAAGAAAGGCTGAGAGAAATCCAGCCCAGAGCAGCAAACTGCTGAATGGTTTGCACATTCCTTGGGGAAGTGGGAGAATGGAAAATGCTCTCTTTCTCTTTGCAGTTTGCCTAGAAGCTCTATTTTTTTTTTTTACCAAGAACTTACCCTGTTCTTGGGTTTGCACCCACACAAAATAGCAAAAAGAGAATATTTAAAGAAAAAAAACAAACCAAGCAAACCCACACACAAACAAAAAAAACCCCAAACAAACCACAGACTTGGGCATCTTTGTTAGACAGAAATATTTCTCCCATATATAACCACAAATAAAAAGTGCAGTGTAACTTTGGTCCCTTATGGACTCTCAGAGTTAAGACTCTCCCCATTTCAGCTTTTCAGCAAAAGAACCAGTTGCTCCCTCCCTTTTGAAGACATCTCACAGCAGGTTCTACATCAGTAGCACTCACACCCAGAGCCCTGTTGGCTTTGGCACTGACACTTTTCTCTCCCAAGACTGCAACTAAGATTAGTAGAAGTGATCAGATTGCTCAAAGATTGGCTAGTATTAACAAAAGAAACAGATATAAAAACTGAATTAAAAAAAAAAAGACAAAGAAAAAAGAAAGCTTTAATATAGAGAAAAAGATCTGCGATGAGATCTAGTTTACCCAAGCCTTTTATGTGGGGCACTCCTACCCCATCCCTTTTGAGATGGGGCAGCTGTTTCCTTCTCTACTTTTCATCTCCTCTCACCTGCCTTTTTTGAAATCACCCAAGGTCACTGCTATTGTCTGAGTCTTCTCTAGCCTGGTTAAACCCCTTCTGCAGATGTCAGAGGTGTGTATCAGAGCAGATGGCTCTACATTATCTGATATCCCTCGAAACCTCAACCGGGATGTGTGATATTACCAGCTAACACAGTCCTCCCTCCCTCCCGTTCCTGGTTAATTTTTATTAGCAAATTAAACACTCAATGTGTGCCCTGGTGCAATCACTGCAGTAGGTACTCAACACATTGCATCCATTACTTATCACAAATGTTTCTCCTGCCATTTCTATCCATCAGTGAACTGCAAATCGAAGCAGCATAACTGTGGATAATAAATGTTTTTCAGAAGTTGCTCAGTACACTGAAGTTACAAAGGGATCTGTGGGAGTTGAATGATTCCAACATCTACCACAGTGCTAAATACCAGCTGAACCATCCCTGTTCCAGGAATGGGGCACTTACAGGTGATGTAGCCAGTGACATTTCTGCAAGAAACTATGAGCTATGTGGGCAGCTTCTACACTGCAGAAATTAGACACTGATCTGTGCAGAGTCTAAATCTGCACCACATAATGAGAAAATGGCTCATCTTCTGGCACTGCCACAGTCAGTGTGCAATGGCAACATTTATTGACCTATCCATAGCTGTGACACAATTAATGGCAATTTGATTCCAGCAAAAATGCATGTGATTGACCCTACTTCATTAGTCTGGAGAGTATTTTACAAACTGAGAGCAAAGTGTTGTGATTCAGCAGATGAACTACAATAGTTGATTCATTTAACCTTATTTCAATTCCGACAAACCCAGTTACCTTTCAGAGATAATATATTAATGAAACAGCCTCTATACAAGTATTGGTCCAAGATTAAAGAAAGTAAGTGTCTTTTGTCTGGATTTGTATTTCAAATAGATCTCCATGTGCTTAACTTAATTGATTCAAGCAGTAGGTATATGATTAGACAGACAGATAGATGGAGTGTTTCAACCGATCTACATTCACGATACCACACAAAAGCATTCAAACAGCATTTTAGCTTTAATCTCAGATATCTGACTCCACATAAATACTTTTTCTAACCAGAACATCAGTTTACAAAGCTGCAGCTGGAGTAATGGCATGGAAGACTGCAGGACACTTTTGCTAATGACAAAGAGTCTAAATGCCTTTTAATTTTAGGCTGTGATGGGAAAATAAATAAGGCAGTTTTTCCTAGCCTTCTGCACTGGTGCAGGCACAGAAAAACCCTTGTGGGGCCTCAGTGAAGGACTGAGACTGCAAAACAGCCTTGACATTGACTTAAGTGGGCCAGAACTCCAGTCCCAAGGGGTAGGAGCAAAGTGGAGCTAGAGCAGCCAGAACTTGAGAGGCAAAACACTACATTAATAACAGCAACGACAAAAAAGATTTCTGACAAAGCATTTGATTAATAGAAAGTTGATTTTTTTCCTTGTGATGTTTCCAAAATGAGTCTGCTCCTGTCTCTTTTTAAAGGTATACTTGCCACAAACCAAGAGAGACAATGACATTTTTAATTTGGTTCAAAGCTATTAACTTTTGCCCAGTCCGTGGGGAAGAACCAATTTTCATTTTTGCTTTGGAACTGCTGTAGAAAGAAAAAGTGACCATTTGCAGAGCAATATGGACGTGATAGCCTTTGGAACGGGAACGTGCAGGATCAGATCCATGGTCCTATGGCCTTCCCATACCCTGGAGATGCACCTGGACAGCATGGGAAAAGGGAAGAGCATGCAGTCCACAGGGGGAGAAAATACACTAATTACATCTGGTATTTTCAAAACACCAGAAAGAAATTAGGGAACTAATGAAGTTGCCTAATTCCCCTAGGCAATAAGATAATTCCAGCTAGACCAGAAGTGTGAGACAGTGCACCAAGAAAACTGTTGTCCCTTTTGGGTCTGGCTGTCAGCTGGGATAGCTCAGCATTTCCACAGAAAGTCAGAGCTGTTTTGCACCCATTGAGAATGGGGCCCCATTTTTACATTATGTGTGTATGTCAAAGGAAAAGAAAACCTAGCTCAGATCAGACAGCTTATATGCAGTAGCCTGTTAACACAAGATCCACTACAGGACATGATCTGAATTAGGAAACCTCTCACTCACCCTGACTTGTCATTGATCACACCTCCTTTAGAGATTTAGAACACCTGAAAGGAACAGTTTAGACCGAATAAACTTCCAGAAACCTCCAGCAGTGAAAACCAGCATCAGTCCTTTCAGGGCTCAGGCTCCTGAGGGAGCGGGAGGAGGAAGAGCACCAGCTGGCACAGACTGAAGCACGCTGTTGCTGCAAGGGCTACTTGCTTTCACCTCCTTCTCCTTAGATTTTGTTAAGATACTTGTTATTTCTGCCTTCAGCATTCATTCAGCACATCTTGCTGGGTTGTCTTGCTATGCCTTTTATTTTCTAAATGGATGGTTCAAGCACATGATTAGCCCTCAGGCTGAGTCAAAGTAACAGGCAAATTAGAAGCCTAGAGGAATTAGGAGCCAAAAAGGCACTTGGAAATGAGCATTGAAAGATATTTAAGCTTGTCTCAGACCTTCATGCATCCTTCTGCTGTTGCAATAGCCAGGAGCACATTGTTCTACTCTTTTCTTATGAAGCTGAGGGATTTAATCTTATCTGGTTTCTTGCACCAGAAGTGTATAAAACTTGCTTGGGGTCTGCTGTTTTGTGTAGCTTCCATTTTACGCTCCTGTCATACACCATCCTTACCTGCTTGCTCAGTTTTTTTTCTTTTTTTTTTTAAAATTCCTTTATTCTTTTTTTCTTTTGAAGATAAGCTGTTTGCTGCAGAGAAGTTCAGCCTGTGTTGATTAATTCAGCAGCTGTCTCCCTTTGTTTTTCTTGTGAATTTTAAAGATGTAGACTGGATAGTCTTGAATCAATAATATGTTATCAGGACTTTTTTTTTATTTTCATCCTAAAGCAAGTAGTAGCCCATTGCTGATTTCCAACACAGAATCACCAGTCATTTCGATACAGTTCAGCTTTAATGGACTGAATCATTGGCTGCTTTTGTCTCTTACATAAAAGAAGAATCAGCCTCAGTAATCAGAGCTAAATCTCAACACCAGGAGGAAAAAAAAACACTCTACTTCCCGGTGCCAAACCCCCCCACATGCCCATGGCATAAAGAGAGCACTGTTAAAAGCACTGTTAAAGCCCCTTAGGCAAGGCCTAATAACCAAAGATCTTTTAATCTGGTTAGAGATTTGACCAGTTCTTTGATTATGATTGCCAGAAGAAAGACACAGTTCACCTATTCAATTACCATGGGATTGTCCCTAAATTGTCCATAGGTAAAATTGACCTGGCAGTTTCTGTCATTTCTCGTTTTGTACCTTTTACCATCTACAAATGTTCAGGTACAGGTTCTCCCATGAGACAAAAGACATTTTTTTACCTGATCCTATAAATTCCCTTTTCTGATTATTGTAAGATGTTAAAAAAAAATATACGTTTTCCCTTTTCTCAAATACACTTTTTTCCATATTCAGATTAAAAGGTTTTTCCTACAAATGACAGTTTTGCTGTGTTTCAATTACACTGGCATTACAAGACATGCTTCCTCATGATAGATACATGTGTTCACTTGCGTGTATCACCTTGGTGCAAAATATTCTGTAGGAGAAAGAGGTTCATGAACCTCATCTCTCAAATACATTTCTAAGTATCATCTTATAATGTGACACCCCTTAGTTCAGCAACAGGGCATAGGAAAGGACACAGATCCCAGGCCAGCACTGGAGAGAAAGCACCATCTGCTCATTGGTGTCGCTGTTTTTTAGTGAAGGCTCCTGTTCTCTAAACTTTGGGACAATAATTTCTGAAAACATGGCTATACACAGCATTCAGGGGAAAAAAAGGTAAATTAAAGCAGACTGCTTCAAAATTAGAGCTCTCAGTGTTAGTCAAAGGGACAATGTGATCAGGACTTCCCACCAGAGGTGAAAAGCTCAGTTGTTCCTGGCTGGGAAGTTATTGTTATTCATGTAGATGCTCTAAGTTCTGCTCTTGTCCTGAGAGTATTTTAAGTGTTTTTAACACATTCAAGTGTCCTAACAGGAGAATCAGTTGAAATTCAAGCCACAAGGAAGCAAGGCCAGGCCAAAAGATTGCAGCAAGCCAGTGGTCCAGCTCAGGACTGTGGCACAGGAGAGAGGCATTTCCTCTGTCTCCCATTGACTCGAATATTCTGGAAGCAGCTCTTCTGAGAAAATATGTATTTGTTACTGCAGAACGCAACAGTTTCCTACCAGATGAACTCACCTGGAAGACTGGAGGGTTTGAGTACAAAACTATTAAAAGCTCTGCAACACAGAGCAAGAAAAAGGAGTTATGTAAGTAATGGATTTTTTGCCCTTTTTCTCAGTCTCTGGTTTCTAGACAATTCTGGCTGTAAGAAGTGTGGATCTGCTACACAGATTGCACTACAAGAGTAATCAGTGACAAACAATTCCTACTAGTTGAAACTTGCCAGAGTAGTAACCTACTACTTTATAACTCCAGTCTTATTTACAGAGCATCTAGATTGTACTAACAGTACTGGAACACAACCAAGCTGGTGTGAAAGCATCAATTCACACATTCTTCATGGATTTCTAGAGAGAAACTGAGTTGCATGCAGGAATGAAACACAGACACACTCCCTGCCCTCTAAATAGGCAAAGTCCTCTGCAGGCTTTTCTGTTGGGCTGCACTGCCAAAGGAAGCATCAGTATTTCAGTCTCTCAGAATTACCAACTGAGCTACTGGCCCAACAGTTTCTGAAAAACACAAACGAGTGAATTTTAAACATGATCATACACCAAAGGAAATAACTTCAGGGAGATACAGCTGGAAAAAAACCCCAAACAAACAGAACATTTCTTTAAAGGATGTTGAGCTCACCTCCTGCTCCCCACAATAAAATGAACGAGATGCCTTCTTATCCCTCAATGAGAACAAACACAGTAGCCTGAAAATCTGACACAAAGGATATATTACAATGCCCTTGCAATGTTTTGTACATGTAAGGCCAGTTTCCACTGCACCATTATTTCTATTGCAAAAGGTTCTAGTCAAAATTGCTTCCACAGTTTCAGGCATTGTGATTGACGCATGACCCCAGCTTAAAGACAAGTGGAGTTTTATTTGAACTACATGGAATGTCTGAATATGGAAAAGAAAGGAAGAGAGAGCAAAGGTAACAGGAATAGAATAACACAGTCCCACAGATTACAGCCTGACCATCCACAAACTCAGTGTCAACTAGAAAATTGATTAGTTGAGTCACTAGTTTGTTAGATTGAGTCCCTTCTTTTTGACTAAATTAAGGTTAATGGAAATAAAAAAAAACATAAGGACTTAGCTATATTTGTTCAGTTCTGGACCCTTCACTTTAAGAAAGACATTGAGGTGCTGGAGTGAGTCCATAGAAGAGAAAAGCAGCTGGGGAAGAGTCTGGAGCACAAGCCTGATGAGGAGCAGCTAAGGGAGCTGGGAGTGTTCAGCCTGGAGAAGAAGAGGTTCAGCGGAGACTTTATCACTCTCTACATGAAAGGAGGTTGTAGCCAGATGAGGGTTGGTCTCTTCTCCCAAGCAACGAGTGATAGGACAAGCAGAAATGACCAGAAGTAGCATCAGAGAGGTTTAGATTGGATATTAGGAAAAAGTTCTTCACTGAAGGAATGGTCAGACATTGGAATAGGCTGCCCAGGGAAGTGATAGAGTCACCTACCCTGGAAGTGTTAAAAAAAAATCTAGATGTGGCACTTGGGAACATGGTTTAGTGGAGGACTTGGCAGTGCTGGGTTAATCGTTGGAATTGATTATCTTAAAGGCCTTTTCCAACCTTAAGGATTCGATGGTTCTATGATTCCATAGTTGTTTCAGAGATAGGTAAAGTTTTCTTAAGGACATTGCCCCAGTTAAGAATTATTCAAACTACTGAGGAGTCATCAGGTGAGATACTGTTCTCTGTATGTGTATACTGTCTTTGTATTTCTGAGAAATTTTGCTCTCTAACAAATGGTTAGACCTCAAAAATTATGAGATTGCATACAAAAAACAATACCATCAAGTTTAAATTACATAAATGCATTATCTATTTCTCTTTACAGGAACAAATTCTGTTCCACCTTGATTTATGTGTCAGTACAAATTTTCAAAGAGGCACACACAGATGGTGTAATAGCTTGTGTCATGAGATCATTTAGTAATTAACCATTAATACAGTAATCTTTGGGCACATTAGGGAAGTGTTAAAGGCCTAATTCAAAACTGCATGTCTTTGGAGATCTTGCTGAAAACTTTTACTGTTTTCTCACTTAATTTTACGTAAGCAAAGCATGATGGTACATATCTTCTAGGAGAATATCCATATGCCCTTAATCCAAGGAGAAAGAGAGAAAGGGGGTTATATGGGAATTGCTTTGATATTCTTCCAGTTTCTACTTGAATGACAAACCCTATCTCAGCTTTTTGCTCCCTTGTTCTCATGGGAGAGCAATTTCAAGAGAGAGCTACCAGTAGCCTTGTTGTAAACACCTAAATAACATATTTTATCTGTATAGGACTGGCAAGAATTAAAGATCTGAATATATTTCATAGAGAAATAGATAGAGTTTTGGCTGAAACAGAGGCAGCACACTTCAATCTCAGTACAAAGTGGGACACACTGTTCTGAATTTCGTTTAGTTATGTTAATCAGCTGAACAACTTGAGAGAAGAACGTCATGAAGGGTAACCAAGGGGAGAGGTGATAAGGCTCATTTCCTTATCGGCTGGACAGAAAGTGGAACAGAAAGGGTTTATCAAGAAGAAAGGCTTAGAAAAAAATTGCAATTCAAAATAAAAATGAATCTGTTGTGTCTGTATTGCTAATATCCAGCAAAGTTGTGCACTTTATCCCAAATTTCCTTCCTCAAAGGTATTCTGTACATCTCCCTTGAGAACCAGGATCAGCAAGGCAGAGATAAAGCATTTTGCAAGAAATGTTCTTCTCTGAATACTGGCTCTTCTGTCCTTTTCCGGTTATCAGCACAGAAGTATTTGGGTGCAAAGTCACTGTTTCACTCACATAACTCCAGGAAGGTGTTTGGAACATTAGAGGAAGTACATCACATTGTAAGGTTTCTACGTAAAGAGCCCACTGGTGATTTGGATGTCAAACCCCTTTTTTGTGGTGGTTTTGGACATACTTTGGAAGCTTTTTTATTTGTTGCTCTCACACTACCTGATTCTAAAAAGCTTCTGATAAATCAGTTTGGTGAGGTTTAGGAGAGCTGTTTAAAGGATAGCAGGGAGAGGATCAGCATGTGTTACTTTTCCAGTGCAGGAGGTAATCACAGAGTGATTTTCTGTATCCCATATGGGGTAGCAACATAAAAACCCTAGACATTTTATACTTGTGTGCTTAAAAGTGTTGTTCAGGTTGGTTATTCAAAAATGTCATTATTTCCATAAAAAAGCATCCTGCTGCATGGAAGTTATACTGAGATGGGCTCTGTGCGTTTTCCCCTCAGTGTAGATGCAGATGCAATGATAGCTAACTACATCATGAGCAAGGGCTGTGTTTTGAATAATAGCTTGTTGTGTAGCAGCAAGTGTGCAGGTTTGTGGGTTTTCTATGAAGAACACTTTATAGATTGCTCCTTTTGCTGTTGAACACGATACCTACAAAGTTTGCCTGCCATAGGAATGTTCTTACGATGGAGGACAAGGTAGTTAAAGTATCTGTGCTAAAATAAAAAAACAGAGAAAAGACTTGCTACCTGTCAGACTGAAGAATTATATGTCCTACTCCTTTCAATCACATTGTAAGTGTGTATAAACTTGCCTGCTATCCCTACTGAAAATTCACTCTGGATGTCCAGCTGTGATTTCATGATGCTTTACAAAACCCCATCAGCTGTTAAAGTCCATTTGCTCTGGAGATTTCATTATGTGAATATTTCAAAATCCATTTGTCAATGAATAGCAGAATGGCCAGTCCTATCTTGGGGGTTAATTCTCACTGAATGTTTGTTGCCTTTCTACTGACAGCTGAATGACAAACCAGTGCAAGCAAACCATTTGAAATAATAAGAAACAAACCTATTTCTATGCTAATATGTTTGAAACACTACATTTCTCTGACAATATTATAATGTTGGAGTCTATAAAATGTCTACAGAATATTTGTTCTGTTTCTGTGTTAATAAACAAGAATTCATTATTCTAATTTTATCCTTCATTCTCTGTAACCTTTGCAGAAAGAAAAAAAAAAGCTCGTAAATAACAGTGGTGATAAATTAGCACAGAGCACTAGACATATTTACATGGACATAGACTTCATATTGAAACACTAATTACCGCAGGCAAATTTAGTTTTCCCTTTAATCAGATTTTACAGGTAATTAGCAGTCAACTAAGATTAATTACAATTCATTTTGTGTTAATGTCATCTTTTGGTCACAGAAAGTTTACACAGTATTTTATTTACCAGATGTAAAGCTAATTCTTACACAGACATACCAAAGTTTTGCAAACATGTTTTTAGTTCACCACACACCTCTTACTTGTCTTAGAAATATGCTTTTGCATGAATATCTTTGGGTCTCCAGAGAGCCATGCAAGATCCCCAGGCACACCAAAACTACTGTAAAGCTGCAAACGTTCCACCCAACCAGACCTCCACATTATTCAGCTGTAGTCAAAAGGGTTATCAGGACTGTTAAGCTCAGTACATTCAGTCTGAGACCACACTTTTGTATTCCACCCCATGTTGCAATCCATGCGCTGCAGCTACTCAGAAGTCTCATACAGGAAACTCACTGCCTCAGGGGCTAGTCCTACCTGGATGAATCAACCTGATTCACCAAATCTCACTCTTGAACTAATAAAGCCTCCATTTCCCATCCCCTCCCAGGCCACTTTATAGAGATGTGTGAAGTCCCTTGTCAAATAATTGAGATCACATTACAGAAGTTATTCTCTACAGAACCAAAGCATCTCCTGACCTGCCACTGTTTAGGAATATGAAAATAGAGAGGAAATGAGTTTTTAGGCCTCATCATGAATAGTCAGCAATCAGAGCTGCTACCAAAATCAGAGACCATAGAAAACTACACCTTCTGAAAACCTGCTCAGAAAGTGAGCTGTAAAGATCAGACACAAAGCTCAGGGGAGGCTCATAGGCTCCAGCATCTCAGGAGGCATCAGAGTTTAACTCCAAACATCCCACTTCCTGGGGCAGGACATGTGAAAATGGTATCTTGGATATAACTCATTGGTTCAGAACAGAGAAAAAGGTCTATCAAATAAAAGACAGAACCTGAAAGACAGAAAACATCAGTAACCAGTTCCCAGGAGAGCCACA